CAGGGAATGTTCTCCTGAGGGCCACGTTGGGGGTTTGTTTTTTTTTTTTTTTTTTTCTTATAATCAGGTTAATAAATTATCATCTGTGCCTTCATCCCCCTGCTCTCTGCTTTGGTTCCTGTTGATGCCCAAACCCTCCCACACACAGCCCTCGCCTGAGCTTCGGGGGGAATGGTTTTTAGTGAGATGGCTACCAGCCCAGACGCTGGCTAGGAGCACGTTATGAACATTATTGCCTACAATAAGCAATTTTTCCCCTTAAAAAAAAAAAAATATTGCCCTCACACCTATTTAATAAGACTGGTGCATTTAAAGACTCTAAAGCACAGCACCTCCTTGCTGGGGATTTTTAGAAGGACCTACTGAGCGGGAATGCCCCTGATTTTATGGCTCCTTCAGCCCCTTTTCTAAACAATCCCCCCAAATTAAATCTCAGTTTACACTGGGCTCTGCTTGAATGCAAGCTCCTGTGGGGCCAGCACTGGTTTTCCCAAAGGACACCCCTGCAAACCGTGTCCCTCCTCCCCCCCCCAAAAGCTGTGTCCCCTACCAAACCACGCACCTGGTGAAGAGCAGGTCGGCTTCGTACTTCAGGTGCAAATTCAGGTGGGCGAAGTTGTCCTCCTTGGTGCTCTCCTTCTCCTCGCTGTCGCTGAAACAGCAGCGGGGCAAGCGGGGGGTGAGGTGGGAGCCGGCTCCCCTCTGGGGGTATTTTGGGGGTGGGGTATAAGGAAGCAGGTGGGGAAGGGCTGAACTTTTGCTTTTTTGGCCAAAGCGTAAGGAGAAGCAATTTTATTCTCTAACTTTTATTAGCCCAAGGCCATAAAAGTAGATCATCTGGGGAGAGGTTTCGCACTCAGCAGCCTTAAAGCCGTGCAGCGAATCCTCGTCTGCTCCAATAATTGATGAACATGAAAAAAAACAAACCCTAATGAGATGTCACTTGGCGGTCAGAAAACTTCACCCGTGCAGGGCAAGTGAGCAAGGAGAACTTTGCAAAGCTGTTTGGAAGTATTTTTCCGGGGAGTATTTGCAATTGTGAAGGTGGGTGAGACAGCAGCAGCGGCCCAGACCCCTTCTGCTCAGCTCAGAGCCTGGCAGCAGCCTCCACAGACACAGAAAAATTAAGGATATAAATATATAGGTAAGTAAAACCAGCCTGGCTTGTGAACACAGGGCTGCATGCTCTGTAATAACCCACAGCAATGCAGGTTTTTTTGTGGTTATTTCCCAAGCAAAGCCTCCAGCATCACCTACGGCTATGGGAGAAGGAAACCCGGCGCAAGCAGGCAAAGTCCCATCAAACACATGCAAGGGAGAAAGCAACCATTAACCTGTTGGCGATCAAGTAGATCTCCATGTTCTGAAGGAAAATCGACTTGCTGAATTCAAAATCCAGGCGAAAAGCTACCTGGGGAGGTTGGAAACAGATTGGAAAAAACATTAGGGAAAAAAAAACCAAACCAAACCAACCCGAGTGCCAGCCAGGAGCAGTGCGGGGGCTCTGAGGGTGAGAGCATCCCCTGATCCCACCGGGAGATGCTGTCGGGCTTTGGGCTGAGCCTCAGCTTTCCAGGGAGAGGAGAGGCCACGCCAGGGATTTGCAGGATTTGCTCTCAGCCCCGCACGCCGCGTTTTTTTGCTCTGAGATTGGAGAAGCCAGCAGCCCCCCTTTGGAAAAGAAATCCTCCCGGGGACCTGCAGCGAGAGGCCGCTCAGTCCCATCTGCGGCACGGGGTCGGCTGGCGGGGGAAGGCAGCCGGAGGGAGGCCAACAACAATAAAATGTGATAAATGTCACATCTGCAAGAGCTGTGGCAATGACCTCAAACTGTCTGGGACTGCACAGCTGAGTATAATATTAAAGCTCCTGCTGCTCTTGGGCCAAATTTCCATTTCCAGCTTGTCTTTGTTTTGGCAGGACCTGGACTACCTGATGCCACGCAGATGCATTCTCAGCCCCCGTAGGTCATGGGGAGCCGGGGCTGCTGTGCTCTCGTGTATGGCCACAGGCATCCGAGAGGGCTTTTTTGGGAGCTTTAAAGCCTAGCGGAGGTGCCTGGAGCTCATCCGTCATTATCAAGCTTCTGACACGGAAAGGCTTCAGACGGATACAGCGGTTGGAAAGATTTTTCTCTTTGGAACCTGCTTGTCTCGGAATGTTTTCCCACGGGGATGCAGGACAGGCAGGTGGGATTTCACAAGGTGACCGCAGAGAGTGGCCCCAGCGAGCGAGGTCCTGCTCTGCTCACAACATCTCCTCACTTTTCCTTCCCTACCTTAATGCTGCACGTAACATCTGCGAAGGGTTTCGTGGCACAAAGACTGATGCTCGCTGGGCCTGGGCTTACCCCAAGTGCTGGGAACCGCTGCAAGCTGCGGTTTGGAGGACACCACCAGCCCAAGGGGGCTTGGGCAGGCTCAGAGGAGGGTCCAGATGGGGCCTGGGTGTTCAGAGCAAGGAAAACCTCTCGGGCAGGGAAGGGTGCCTCATCCTGCAAGGAAGGAGCTCGGGGAAGCTACCATCAGTGGTTTGAAGCCAACATTAAATTGCTCCAAAGAACTGCAGTCAAATTCTTTGACTCCAAGGAGCTGGGTTTGATTTTGGTGCTCTCCTAGCATCATCCTAACCATCCTGGCTCCCCTAACACACCTTTCAAACACCAGCAACGGACAGAGAAAGGGAAGAAACCAAACATTTATCTTTAAAAATCCCATTCAAAGCCACCCAGCCTGAAGATGGATGGATGCAGCCCCGCAGCCGTGCCGGGGGCAGAGGGCTCCCGTCCCATGGGCGAAGCCTCCTCTGCGCAGGAGGGAATAGCTTTACCTTGGCCTTGGCTCGGAAAAACGGGTAGCTCACATTGCACACTTTCTTGGTGGGGTGCTTGTCTTCAGTCACGCAGTCGATGTTGATGTCTGAGTCGTCCTAAAACGGGAGGCGACGTGCCCATGACACTGGGCACGAGCCCCGTGACCCGGCGCTTTGGGAAAGCGGCAAACACACCCACGTGGCTCAAAACAGGCTTTAACTTTTGGAAAAAGCAAGCAACCAACCAACCCACCCAACCCCCCTGCTTGCTGCAGGTTGGGAACCCTTCCCATGCAGCTGAATTTCTAGGGCCATTCCTGGAGAGAAGCATTTCTAGCAAGTGGCTTCCAGCTTTCTGATTTAAATCCTCTTTAGAAATTTCACTACAGCAGTGAATGAACAAACCTGATTATCCTTGGCGCTATAATTGGGAAGAAAAGTATTTGTCTGTGATGAGGAGTCACAGGGAAGCATCAAGAGATACCATGAGCTGTTATCCTGCATGGCCACCGGCTAAGTAGCAGCATTTAATGTCCTCGTCTCCACAAGTACATTCCTGCCTCTTGAACACCTTCCAGCTCACCAGCCAGGCTGGAGAAGCTCCTGCCCATTGCAGAGCCCAAGCAGAGGCTGGGGTGGGATGGGACACCGACCCTGCTCTGCCTCCTCCGCTGCCGAGCTGTAGCAACCCTACAGGAGGCTGTAGCCTGGTTGTATGCAGGTGTTCATCCCCACCATGAGATGATGAGCTATTCCAGTCTTTGGCCCTGTGTTAGAGCCCTCCAGGGTCTCAGTTCAAGGTGCTGCCACCAGACAATTCCTATCCAGGAGCTGAAACATCCCAGCCACAGGGATAAATGCCTTGACAGCCACGGGCAACAGCCCAGAGCTTTCTCCCACTCCTCTGCTGAGATTATGGACTTTCTGGGGCCACAGATACTTTTTATTTGGGTCTCTGTGCAGCCTCTGACACAAGCATCCATCCCCTCCCGTTGGCAATTTGCTTATTTATAAGGAGCGGCAGCCAGGAACCCGTTAGCAGCGATGCTGCTACAACAA